ACTGGGGATGTGCCCGCAACCAAGGTACATGCCCTTGACCGGAATCGAACCTGGGACCTTTCAGTCTATAGGCCGACGCTCTATCCACTGAGCCAAACCAGTTTCGGCTGACACACACGCTTGTCCAAACCCTTCCTATGTATCAGAAGGGAAGGTCGAGGCCCAGAGGGGGAACATGACCCTCTCAGGTTACAGACACCCCGTGACGGAGCTGGACGTGGGTGAGAGCCCACAGGGCAGTCATGGCACGGGAACGGGTGGCCTCCAGACAAGCTGGGGTGCCCCCCCCCCCCAATTCTCCCTGACAAGAGGGCAGCTGGGGGCAGGGAAGCAGGTTACATTTGGGAGCAGCCAAGTCCACTTTCCACAGTTTCCCACTCACACAGGACCCGGGAGAAAGGCTCTCGGGAACTCCAGACTCCTCCCCTCCGAGACCCTCAGACCAGGGCCCCCCTCCACGCACCCAAAACCACCGGGGGAAAGCAGGGCCCGCAGCGTCTTGGAGAGGGTGAGTGTGTTTGCCCAGGGGAGACAGCCCAGGAGCCTGTAAGATAGACATTTGGACTAAAATGGTGACACTGGTTCGATCGGCGTGGTAGGGCTGCTGTCAGGAAATACCACACACTGGGGGGAGGGACTGGGGGCCGGGAGAGCTTAAAGAACAGAAATGTATAGTCTCCGGGCTGGAGGCTGGTAGTCCAAGGTCAAGGTGTCCGCAGGGTCATTCCTGGAGGGAAGGCTGGCTCAGGCCTCCTCCCTGTGTCCCTCAGCCTCCTCTCTCCTCTGGGAGAGTCTGTGCTCCGGTTTCCCCTTTTTGTGTGGACGCCATTCCTATTGGATTAGGACCCCACAGAACGACCTGGTTTTAGCCTGATGACCTCTGTGAGGCAGGTCCCCATCTGAGGTCGTGGGGGTCAGGACGTGAAGATATGAATTTGTTGGGGAACACGGTGCAACCCATAACCTGATAGCGCTTCATTGTTTTGGTTTCCTGTGTTGCTTGGCTGCCAATGCTGGGTGGTTGGTGTGGGAGGGCCTGAGAGGGATGTCCTAGACAGGACCAGATCAGCTACAAAGAAATTACATGCCCACACGGTAGCTGGCGTTCCGGGTGCAACGCCAGTGTGTGATTGAGGCGGCTTTGTGCAGCCTCCCGAATCCTTGGCCCGGATTAGGCACAGCCCCCCGAGATAACAAAGCAAATGCAGTCTTGTTGCTCCAGTGAACGGGAAGGGGGAAAAACAACACAACAACATACAACAGCCAGCCAGATGGCTCCACAGTTGAGAGTCAGCCTATGAACCCAAAGGTCGCTGGTTCGAGTCCCGGTCAGGGCACAGCTGCTGAATTCCCAAACTCCAGGTGTCTCTGTTCAAGAATTAATGCACCTTCCTCCTTGCTTCAGCCAGGGGGAGTGGAGGTTTGCATTCTAATGGAAAGAAGTCATCTTATTTTCTTTGACTTTTGCTTGGTGTGTTTCAAGCTGTGGGGCCTAAAGAGCTGTGAGTCCAATGAGCGTGGATAAGGACTTTTTTTTTTTTTAATTTCTTTATTGATTAAGGTATAACATATGTGTCCTTATTCCCCCATTGCACCCACCCCTCACCCCATTCATGCCCTTAAACCCCGATTAGGCTTATATGCATGCATATGAGTCCTTTGGTTGATCAAGGAGGACTTTTATTCATTTCATTTATATTCCTGACCTTGGAAGTGGTGCCAGAGAGATCCACGGCTTTAAACAGACCGCCTTTCTCTCCTCTGCTCTGTACTCACGTCTCTAACTCAGGAAGCAGGGTGTCGAGTGAAAAGAGTAGAAGCCACAGAGCTATACAGAGGTGGGGTTCAAATCCCAGCTCTGCTATACACGAACACCTGGAAAGGTGTATGACAGTAAGGATGGCGACAGCTGTTGTGTCTCCCAGAGCCTAGCACAGCGCCTGGTGCACAGTAGATGCTCAACAAAAACCAACAGGTGGATAGCTGTTCCGGGAAAATCACTGGACCCTTTGAGCGCCCACGTCTTCATCTCTAAAATTAAGTTGGGTTTGCCCTTCAGTTTCCAACGAGGATGAAATGGGAGGATAGATGTGAAACCGCCTCAGGCTGCCGGTCGCCATGCCTGAAACCCCATCCGCAGTCACTCCTTCCCACCCAGTAAGGCACTGGAGCCCGGGCAGTGCCCTGGGCATTGTAACTGCCTGCCATGCCCGGCTGGCGTGGCTCCGTGGTTGAACGTTGACCTATGAACCAGGGGGGGTCACAGTTTGATTCCCAGTCAGGGAACATGTCCAGGTTGCAGGCTCAATCCCCAGTGGAAGCCATGCAGGAGGCAGCCGATCAATGATTCTCTCTCACCATTGATGTTTCTATCCTTCTCCTCTTCCTCTCTATTAAATAAAAATAAAAATAATTTAAAATAATGATAATAAACTGCCTGCCAGCTGAGACTGGTTTGGCTCAATGGTAGAGTGTCGGTCTGCAGACTGAAGGGTCCCAAGTTTGATTCCGATCAAGGGCATTTATGTTGGTGGCAGGCACATCCCCGGTAGGGGGTGTGCAGGAGGCAGCTGGTTGATGTTTCTCTCTCATTGACGTTTCTAGCTCTCTAGCCCTCTCCATTTCCTCTCTGTGGAAAATCAATAAAATATATTAAAACACACACACACACACACACACACACACACACACAAACTAAATTGCCTGCCATAAGCAGGGGCTCACGGGCGATTCCCAGCCACCAGCCAAGGCTACGAACCGTCTTTCCCACTTTTCTGCGTGTGTCCCAGCTGCTCAGCACCCGCATCCGGGAGACACGACCGATGCCAGAAACTCCTTCAGTCATCCAGGTGTTTGCTCTACGGGCAGGGCCCTCTGCAGGATGGGAGCCACGGAAAAGATAATCCTGAGGCTCCGCAGGTCCTGGGGCCGGGCACCAGGGCTCCGGGGACACCTGGGGTCAGGTGTCTGGCTGTGCTTTCTGCCCTCGCTTCGCCCGGTTCCCAACCCAGACCTGGCGCCCGGGGGATTGCTCCATCCACGATTTCAACGTGAAGGATAAACACAGGAAGTCCGTGGTCGTCAGCATTGTACCAGCCAAATCCTTGATCCAGTCCTGGGCCAGAGGAGAATTACAAAACAATAGGAGGAGGAGGAGGTGGAGGGGGCGGTGGAGGGAGGGGAGCAGGGGGAAGGAGGCATCTGGTCTCTTTATTTTCAGGCTAGAATTATGGATGATGCTTTAAAAGTGCCTCCATGAGCATTTTCATATCCTCACAGCAGTCAGTAAGGCAGAAGGTCCCCATCTTATTTGCAAAAAAAATAAAAAGGCGGCCTCGGTTTCACCATCTGTAAAATGGGTGGACGAGAAGGGCCGCGTTGGACGAAGCAGAGTCTCTCCTAAAACTCTAAAAATTCCCAAGATTCCCAGGGCGGTGCAGAAGTGACCAGCCCATCCAGACACCCTTCCTTCCTTCCCAAGGAGAAAGCAACCCCTCACGCCGCCCTCTCCCCGCTCCCCAAAATCAGACACCGGAGGTTTTGCTGTGCACCTTCCTCCTCGTCCCACGGAGGAGTCTGTTCGGAGCTCAGCTTAGGTGTGCAGGTTGCTTTAGAGCCCAACGCTACCCTGTGTGTGTGTGTGGGGGGGGGGTGTCGAATCCCAGCTGTGCCCCTTATTAGCTGGGTGACATTGAGCAAATCCTTTCCCCTCACTGAACCCCCATTCCCTCATCGGAACATGGAGAATAGTCAGGGTCCCTCCCACAGAGGTCCCCAAGGGATTCAGTGAGAAAATGGAAGGAGCGTGCTTGGAGGTCCCCGGCCTCGGGCATGCTCAGTTCACATTACCTACTGGTATTATTATTGTCGTTATTGTGGTTGCTGTGGTTGAAGCCTCGAGTGCGGGAACGTGCCCCATAGGCCTGTGTTTCCTCCTCCCTTCACCTCGCTCGCACCCACAGCCCACTGGCCCTGTCTCCTGGACAGCAGCCGGCTGATGGGCCCTGGGGTGTCCCCATCTCCTGGGGTGGGAGTGGAGTAGGAGGGGAGTCTCCGGAAGATCCCCCAGGACAGGCCTCAGCGACCTCCAGGTGACACCCACGTCCAAGCCGCCTGCACAGATCCCCACAGCCCCGCCCGCACGGGCAGCACTCCGGGCGGGTTAATCTGCGTGTTATTGACGGGGCTTTATGGTGTGCGCGGAGGGCTCCCCTGAGGAACATCATTGTGCACGGGGAGGTGCGTCTGAATAATATTTACAATTAAGTTCCGTCAATAGAGCCAGGCGCCGAGGCCTCAGCACGGCGGGAACGGCCCCCCAGCTGGCTTCCCGCTAACCGCTTCCCGGAGGAGGCGTGGGGAGCCTGGGATCTCTCTCCAGCAGGCAGTCCACGCCCCTCAAGGTCGACCTCTGCTCCCAGGGTCCAGGCATCGTCACACGCATTTGGGGGCTGCGGGGTCCCTCCCCCCACTCACCCCTTCCCAACCAGAAGGGCCCAGGCCTAGGGCATCAACGTGCAGATCTGAGCACATCGCTGTTGTATGAACTTCCCCTTCACCCAGGGTCCAGGGTCCCAGGGTCCAGCCCTGCCTCCTCTCCATCCTGTGTCCCTATGATCAGTCTACCGGCTCCACCGCAGGTGCCTCCCCTTCCAGACCCTCCCCTTCGCTCTGTTCCCTCCCCCGTCCACACTGCACCCCCTCCCCCTGGCGCCGCCCCTCCACACCTCACACCACACCAGCGCCTCCCTCTCCCTCGCATCCCAAGCACCTCTCCCCCACACCGAGAAAGTGTCAGAGCCCTCTCCAATGTGCGTGAGGCACTTACAGAGGCTGCTCTCCATTTGGAGAAAATGGTTGCTTGTTTGTTTTTGTTTTTTTTTTTAATATATTTTATTAATTTTTTACAGAGAGGAAGGGAGAAAGATAGGGAGTTGGAAACATCGATGAGAGAGAAACATCCATCAGCTGCCTCCTGCACACTCTCCCCACTGGGGATGTGCCCGCAACCAAGGTACATGCCCTTGACCAGAATCGAACCCGGGATCCTTCAGTCCGCAGGCCGACGCTCTATCCACTGAGCCAAACCGGTTTCGGCGGTTGTTTTGTTTTTTTGAATTATTGGCTGTTTCTCCCACTGGCCAATGACGAGGACAGAGGTTGTATCTTTGGATCGCCCTGTATTCCCAGGGCCCAGCCCAGGGCCTGGCCAGGAGTAGGTGTTGGATAGGTTTTGATGGCCTGGGGGAGCGGGGGACAGGTAGAGAGGACTATGGACATGGATGGATGGGAGGAGGGATGGATTCGGGGCAGAGAAAGGAGGCCCAACCGGAAGGAGGAAAACAGCTGGTTTGGATTTTGCTCCTGTGCACCGGCTTTTCCAAGGACAAACTGATTCCCCGGCTTCCCCCAGGGCGGCCTGGCCTGCACTCGGCCGGCCCAGCGGGAGGAGCGAGGCACCGAGCTGAGAAAGCAGCCGTCCTGGGGCTCAGAGGCCCAAGTGGCTGGTTTCTGAGACCCAGAGTCCGTCCCACACCATCTTGTGCCTGAGTCGCTTCACCTGTGACGGCGAGGAGGGGTCGCTGGAGACAGGGGGGCCATGTGAAAAGCCCCCCCTTTTGCTCTCAAACTGGCCGAGGGCAGGCTGCTTCGGGCAGGCGGAGGCTGCGGCGTGGGATTTGGGATGGATTCAGGGCTGGCTCGTGGCAGCTGACAGGGAAGGAACAGTTTGTCTCCTAACGAGGTGCGATTCCAAATGGCCCATGGGCTCTGGCGCTCGCCAGGCGCCGGGAAGACATCCCAGCTGCTTGCTGCCTCTCCGAGAACTGGCTTCGGGATGGAGGGACCGGGAGGGGAGAGGAGGCAGAGCCCTCGGAGACCTGCCTCCCGCCTGTCCCCGCCTGTCCCCGCTGTCTGCCTTCCCCGAGTGCAGGAGGGGGAGGGAGCCCTCGGGTGAGTGTGGATGGCCGTCCGGGAAGCTGGAGGGCAGCGGCATTGTCTTTGCCAAGCGGCGCTGTCCTCTTTTGAAAAACGATTTGCAAAGCTGACTTTAAAAAGGCCGTGATGACGACGACGACGTTTCGATGAATCCACCGAGGCATATGTATTTATGGTCAAAAAAATCCCAAGCCCCTCTCAAAAACCTTACGACTCTGCAGCCTTATTGGAGGCGAAGGAGACCTAGGTTCGAATCCAGGCGCTGGCGGAGACCCGCTGGGCGCCCTCAGGCCAGTTCCTGAACCTCTCTGAGCCTCCCACGCTCCCCATGCAAAAGGGAAGTCACGTGTGACGGTGCCTAACGCGGGGCAGCGGCGAGGCGGACTAGTCGCGGGATCCCACCTGTGCGGTGCTTACCGTGGGAGTGCTAAATAAAGGCAGGCTGCGGCTAGAGTCCAGAACCGCGGTCGGCAAACTGCGGCTCTCGAGCCACCTGCGGCTCTTTGGGCCCTTGAGGGTGGCTCTTCCACAAAATGCCACGGCCCCGGGCGAGTCTATGCTGAAGAAGTGGCGTTCGAAGAAGTTTACGTTTTAAAAAAGTTGGCTCTCCGAAGAAACATCAATCGTTGTCCTGTTGATATTTGGGCTAAGGTTTCTTTCCAAACGTCGGGGCTTTTTTAAAACGCTGCGGGACTCAGAACTGTCTGGTCACCTTACATTTGGCTCTGTGGACGAATGAGATTGCCGACCACAGGTCTAGGACATTCTCCATAGATACATTCTCTAGACTCGGGTCAGGCAGAGCCTCTGGCTGGCTGCCTGCGGTTGGGCCAGTTGTCCCAGGTGAGAAGAGGCTATGGGGCTGCACACAGGAGCTCCGAGCCTCTGGCACCGTGCCCACGGCCTGCATGCCTGCCTCCCAGGCCTGCACGTCAGACCACAAGGTCAAGGTCAGGCTCCAAGCTCCGCTTCAAGTTCAGCGACCGGGCCCTTGGACGCCCTCCCCAGCCGCAAGGGACTCCACCTAGCTTCCTGCAGTTGCCTTGGAGCTGGTCTCTAGCGAGGCAGGCGTGGGGGAGGAAGTGGGGGGAGAAGACGGGGGGGGGGGGGAGGCCCTCGATGCTCACCTTCGGCCCCGGAGTGTTTCGTTCTGAGTGGCTCCAGCCGGAGCCCATAGATGAAGAAGGGAGAGAGGAGCCCCTGGGAGCCGGTGGGGGCTGCTGAGGGAGCTGCCCCCTCCACCCAGCCAGGGAGCACCCCTTGGGAGTCACCCCAGGAACAAATGGAGTCAGACAGGGGATGGGGGAAAGGACTAGCACCACCCGCACCCCCAAAATAGCTCAGCACAAAGCCCACGGGAATCTTTCTCCTTCCTCCTCCCCCGCCCCCGCCCCCCCCCCCCCCCCGTCCCCCAAGATCCCCTACGGCCCTTCAGGGCCTGTTCTCTGTGCTCCTAGGACAGCCGGACACAAAGGCAATGCACGGCCCAGGGCTCATCGGTCACCTTCCTCTCCCAGGTCCCCACACATGCCCTGCCCCCCAATCCAGAGGAGTGAGACATCCATCCATCCGGCCGGCTGCTGGATGGGTAAGTAGGGAGAGGTGTGCTCTGCCCTCCTCCGCTCACCCGGGATGGGACCCGGGAGAGTGTTTGTGTCATTTCCGGGGGGGCGCACAGTAGGTCGCATCGTCTCCGTGTCTCGTGCTCATGGCGGTCCACGGCGGTGCTTTGGAGAATTCTCCCTCTTGTGCTTTGCGTCGTTGTCATCGGCGGTCAAGGCTGGTCTCCCAAGGAGCGTGGGACGCTGGTCCAAGGCTGAGGGCCCCTGGGCACGCCCTGCCCGCCATGCCGCCGGGAGGAGAAAGGGGCCCCGGGCCCTGGGTGTGCCCGGCTCCACATACCGTCCGCCCCGTGTGAGATGCAGCAGGCGTGGGTGGGCGCTGCCCAGGCCCCCGCTGCGACCTTGGGGAGACAGCGCCTTGGATCGCCAAGGCCAGGGGGTGTCTGCTGGGGGTCTCAGAACATGCCCGTCTCCTTCTCGATCCTGGAGGACCTCTCGTTTACGGACGACATCCTGGTGGAGTTCCGGTGGCTGTGGTCGGGGGACTGGCCCGCGTCCTCGCTCAGCGCGTTGGCCAGGCGCGAGAAGAAGGCCACCCGGAACTTCTTGAAGTCCTGGCCCATGAAGGCGTACAGGATGGGGTTCATGCAGCTGTTGCCGATGGCCAGCACGGTGGCCAGGGGCAGGCCCAGGGTGAAGACGGCGGCGGGCACGGCGCTGTGGCGCAGCTCCAGCAGGCACAGGGTCTGGTAGGGGCACCAGCAGAGGAAGAAGGTGACGATGATGCTCAGGATGACCCGGAAGGGCTTCCGGGTCCTGGCCAGCCGGTTGCGCCGCAGCTTGCACACGATGGTGACGTAGCAGGCCGTGATGGCGACCACGGGGATCAGGAAGCCGCAGAGGAAGCGCAGGGCGCCCACCGCCAGGTGCCAGCGGGCCCCCGGCGGCGGGGAGCCCGGGTGGGGGTGCCCGGGGCCCCCTGGCGTGGCCGCTGCCTCGGCCAGGCTGAAGTTGCTGAAGCACACGACCTTCCCGTGCACCAGCACCGTGTCCCGGAACACCAGGGAGGGGACGCTCAGCAGGGAGGCCAGCGCCCAGATGGCCACGCAGGCCGCGCACACCAGCCGCACGCTGCGGTGGTTCTGGGACCAGACGGGCAGGACCACGGCCACGCAGCGGTCCACGCTGATGGCCACCAGCAGGAAGACGCTCGTGTGCATGTTGTGGTGCAGCAGGAAGTTGCTGAGCTTGCACAGCGCCGTCCCGAAGGCCCAGTGGTAGCCCAGGGCCACGTAGGCGATGTGGAAGGGGAGGAAGAGGTTGAACAGGAGGTCGGCCACGGCCAGGTTGACGAACCAGATGGTGTTCACCGTCTTCTTCACCTGGAAGGCGGCCACGAAGATCACCAGGCCGTTGCCCAGGATGCCCAGGCAGCAGATGACGCTGTAGGCCGCCACCAGGAAGATCCGGAAGGCCCCGCCGCCGCCGTCCGGGGACTGGAACTCCTCCAGGATCACGATGGCCTCCGAGCCGTTGAGGTAATCGTCCTCGTAAAAGTAGGACACGTTGTCGTCCTCCCCGTCCATGCTCTGCAAAGGGGAGACCGAGACCGCGAGGCCGTGAGAGGAGCCTGGACAGGGACTGCCTTCAAGAGGCCAACCAAGCCCTCACCGGTTTGGCTCAGTGGATAGAGCGTCGGCCTGCGGACTCAAGGGTCCCGGGTTCGATTCCGGTCAAGGGCATGTTCCTCGGTTGCGGGCACATCCCCAGTAGGAGGTGTGCAGGAGGCAGTGGGTCGATGTTTCTCTCCCATCGATGTTTCTAACTCTATATCCCTCTCTCTTCCTCTCTGTTAAAAAAAAAAAAAAAAGCCGAAACCGGTTTGGCTCAGTGGTAGAGCGTTGATCTGCGGACTGAAAGGTCCCGGGTTCGATTCCGGTCAAGGGCATGTATCTTGGTTGCGGGCACATCCCCAGTGGGGAGAGTGTGCAGGAGGCAGCTGGTCGATGTTTCTCCCTCATCGACGTTTCTAGCTCTCTCTCTCTCCCTTCCTGTCTGTAAAATATCAATAAAATATATTAAAAAGAAAGAAAGAAAAGGAAAAGACTAGAAGATTATTAAAAAAAAAAGAGAGAGAGACAGAGAGAGAGAGAGAGAGAGAGAGGCCAACCAATATCAGCAAGCCCGACCTGGTCCTCCCTGGCAAGGCACAAGGCCAGTTCCTTAGCGTAACTACTTCCTGTGTGTGTTGTTTTAAATTTAATAAATCTTTATTGTTCAGATTATTACAATTGTTTCTCCTTCCCCCCCCCCCCACAGCTCCCCTCCACCCTGTTCCCTCTGCCCTTACCTCCCCACACTGTCCTCATCCATAGGTGTACGATTTTTGTCCCATCTCTTCCTGCACCCTCCACCCCCCAAACCCCGTTCCCCCTGAGGATCATCATCCCACTCCCTTTCCATGCCCCTGATTCGATTCTATTCGCCAGTTTATTCTAGCGGCTTCCTGTTTTGCCATTTTATTTACTTAACCAATGAGCCGGCCAGCACCTCCTACCCACCAGGGACCATCCTGAAGCCCTGACCTGTACACACTGCTCTTCATCCTTGCAAAAGCTCAGCGGGGTCGATGGGCGAGGGACCCTGTGTTACAGGGGAGGCCACGGAGGTGATTGGTCCGAGGCCCTCCAGCTGAGTGTGAACCGAACTTCGGAATCTGCCCTCTGGACAACCGCATTCGGCTGCCCCTCTGGAGCCCTCCCCGCTCCCTTACAGTCTAGCTGGGGAGACAAACATCCATCCACCATCCCGTGATCATGGAGAAACGGGGAGTGACGATGCTGAGGGCACTGGAGGAGAGGTGCACGGGGCCACGGACTCGGTCCCAGCCATGTCCCAGGGCCCAGGGGACAGCTCCGCGGGCTCCCACACTGCCCATGGACCCCAACGGCGCCTGTGGAGAGATGAGCTCAGACCCCAGGACTTCCTCACCGTTCGTTCACCGTTAAGGTGTCCAACGCTCTCCGGGGTGGGTCCTTGGCCCGTCCGTCAGTCTCCACCGGGCTCAGGTACTCCTGCAGGGGGAACAGTAGGCAGCTGCTGGGTCGGAGTCTGGCATACTCCTCTTGTTGCCACTCCCGATTCATGGAAAAGGAATCAAAGCAACCAGCCTGAGGTGACTCCGCTCACGAGCAGCTGAGCTGGAACTTGAACCCAGGACCCTAGTGCCCTGGAATCCCTGCACTTCCCACCACCCAGGCTCCTCCCATCCTGACAAACGGGCTCCGAGCTGGTGGATGTCTGAGTCCGGCCAGACTGCCCACTGGCGCTTCTCCATCACCCATCGCTCCAGCCTCCCTCCATCTAAATTCACTGCCGGTCCTTCATGGACGCAAGGTTACATTTTATTGCACCTGGTTTTATGCAACAAGAGCTACTTGTAAAACTCCATGGAGGGCGGACCCTGGGCTCCAGGGACTCCGGGCTGGAGCTGGGAGCAGATTCCAGAGGTGCCCAGGCCTCCGGGCAGGAGGTGGCAGGGCTGGGATTGGAGTCCCGTCTGCAGAATCAGGGGTCTCCCCATTGCTCCATGCTGCCCCCACATCGTGATGTGATGGCTGGGCGTCCCCATCCATCCCCTGTGCCTGGCTGTGCAGGCCCCAGGGACAAGGAAATGGCTCTCCGAGCAGGAAGGCTGCCTGCGCTGCAGTCATCACCTCCCAGTCATCACCTCCCCATCCCAGGTGGGAAGCAGGGAGAGGTGAAGGAGGGGCCTCTGTGGAGCTCACAGGGGGTTGCCAGGTGCCAGGCCGAAGAAGTGCTCCCCAGCCAGGCAGGGGTGCTCCCCGGCCTGGGAGTCGAGGCTTCCTCAGGCCCCAGGAGGCTCCCGTTTTGACCCATTAGCTGAGCCTGAAGGGCAATTCGGAGATGACAGAAGGAGCCCTCGCCGGTTTGGCTCCGTGGATAGAGCGCAGGCTTACAGAACTGAAGTGTCCCGGGTTTGATTCCGGTCCAGGGCACGTACCTCCCTCGAAGGCTCGGTCCCTGGACAGGGATCGTGTGGGGGGCAGCCAGTCGCTGTGTCTCTCTCACGTCGCCGTTTCTCTCTCTGTGTCTCTCCCCCTCCCTTCCACACTCTCTATGATCTTTAGAAAAACAGCCTCGGCTGAGGACTAACAACAACATCAAGGAAAAAGATGATGGAAGGAGGGAGGAGGGTGGGCCCCACCTCCCAGCATGCCCCCAGTTTGACGGCCATGCTGGGCGGCGGGGGGGGGGGAAGGGGGGCGGTGTCTGAGCCCCTGGAGGAGGGTGGAGAGGAGCGGGGACTCAGGACCCAGCACTTGGCGCTGCGGCGTCTGCAGAGACGCTCTGGGGACACAGATGACGTCCCGTCTGGCTCTCTGGCTGGGCTGGGAGCAGCTTGGGGTCAGGGGCCACCTCTTTCCATCTCTGAAGGGGGGCCAGGCTGGGCCGGCTCAGGGTGGCGCTGACATCTTCTGGGCATGTCTGCCCGCTCCCCCCTCACCCCTCCTCCTGAGAGCTGAGCGAGTCAGTGTCCTTAGTTGGTATATGTCCTCCCCCCCACACCCTACCCCCTCACCACACACACACCCCAGTCCCTCGGCTCTCCCTGGGCGGGGACCCCACTCACAAGCTTGCACGTGGCCTGTCCTCTGTCTGTCCCCACAGACATCCCTCCTGCCCCAAGCTCCTTTCTGCCCCCAGACGAGGCAGTCCTGGGGTGAACGGTCAAGGACACCGATTCTGGGCTGCCACGCACCCAAAGGCTCGGTCTGTAGGAACTTCCCATGACCCTCTCTGCACCTCAGTTGTCTTATCTATGAAATGGGCATGACCACAATCATTGGGAATGGTTGAGGGGATTAAATGTCACCTGCGAAGCACTTAGAACAGGATTGTAACTGGGTAACTAGGCTGTTATTTTTTTTATCACTGTTCTTTTTGTTGTTGTTATTATTATCATGATGGTGATTATTTCTTAGGCTTCTACTCTTTTTTTTTTTAATATATTTTATTGATTTTTTTCAGAGAGGAAGAGAGAGAGATAGAGAGTTAGAAACATTGATCAGCTGCCTCCTGCACACCCCCTACTGGGGATGTGCCCGCAACCAAGGTACATGCCCTTGACCGGAATCGTACCCGGGACCTTTCAGTCCCCAACCCGACGCTCTATCCACTGAGCCAAACTGGTTTTGGCAGGCTTCCACTTTTAACTCCCTCCTACAATGGCCTTCGCCTGGGAAGGTGGGAGGGGCGGGGAAGGCCAGAGGACCCAGGCTTCCCATGCACTCGTCACCCAGCTCTGGGGCCAAGGGCAGGTCAAGGGCAGCACAGGCAAGGATTTTGCTTCTCTGATCCTGCAGGCCAGGCCGAGGGACCCCCCTAGTGCATGAATTAGTGCACCGGGCCTCTAGTTTATTATAAGGAACTAAAACAAATATCAAGTATAATAGCTATAGACATAAGGACCAACCCAAACCCATTTAAAAACCTGCAGACCAGCAGGGTCCATGGCATTGCTGCTGTTGACCTGCAAATGTGATTCAGGGCTTCCTTGTGGCCAACTCAAAAAGGGAAATGTGAGCCGTGGTAGGACCTGAACTTTCAAGAATGAGGAAGCAGCCCCGTTCTGCAGGGGAAGCAGTGGGGCTCCCTACCCTGCATTCTCAAGGGCGCTTCTCACTGGGAGCGGGTGTCCTAAGGGCACCCCAAGAGAGCAAGGGCCATTGCCTTGACCATGTCTGTTCACACCTTTCCCGGTGCCCCACCCTCCGGGGACACCTCCTCACTCAGATCTTTTTCCCCCTTCCCCAGTTTTCGGGACAGCCTGGCTGGGGTCCGGGGCACAGGTGGGAATCATTTGCCGAAGGCAGCACCGTCTGTTACAGCCCTGGGCAGGTGATCCTGGGATCAGCTGGTCCCTCCTCCGCCCTCAGCTCCCGGGAGAGCCCGGGGAGCAGATGGGGTGTCCGGGCTGGGCTCCCAGAGTCTTCCTGTGACCCTGAACTCACACCCGGGTTGGAACGGGGGCCCAGTGCTGGTCTTCTCGGAGGCTCCTGGGACAGACCAACCCCCAGGCCAGCCGTGCCCGGCCTTTCCTTGGACAGTTCCCATAGGCGCCTCGGAGAGGCTGCCATGGAGGATTTGGTACAGAAGGCAGGAGATTGGCTGGGACACCTGAGGAAGTCGCTTCCCCTCTCTGGGCCTCGGTTGTGTGATCTGTAAAATGGGAATAATAGTATGTGCCCCACCTGCTTCTTAGGGCTGCTGGGAGGATGAGCTAGCACGAAAAAGATGAGCTTCCGGAATCAATGCTGGGAGGAAGACAATCTCTAGACTCCTCTCTTTTTGTGACTTTTTTTTTTTTTTACTTAACTCTGGAAATAAGTTCAGACTCACAGAAATTGCAAAAATAGTACAGAGCGGTCCTGGGTAGGTACCTACCACCCGATGGCCCTTGGGGCTGGAAGAGAGAGGGCGGGTGAATGTTGTGCAGCTGTCAGAAGCGACAGATTATAGAGGGCTCACACCGCAAAGAGGGATGCAAGCATCCTGAAGCCACTGCCCGCCCAGCACGGAGCCCGTTGGAAACGCACGTGTGAAAGCAGCCACACGCATGTTTCTCGATTTGGTTTGATTTTTGCGAGAACATGGTGGAATCACAAGATACACGTGGAGCCCATTAGGATACACATTGAACCAATTAGACCGGTTCTGTGGGAGCGGAAACGGGAGGAGGGGGAGCAGAGAGCGGGGCTGAGAGGAAACCAGGGCGGCGAGGAAAGGAAAGGATGGAGATGGACAGAGGGGTGTCATTATATCGGCCCCTCCTCTCCCCTCCCGAGGTCCACAGACACCCAAAGCCAACAACCGGGCCCCCCAAACCCCTGCCTGGGGTTCTGTTCGGGCAGCGCCTGGGTCACTGAATCCCGGGGACCAGATGGTCACAGGCAGAAGGTCCCGCTGTGGATGGCACCGCCCTGCCCACAGCCCCGCAGACCCGCTCAAGGTCACATCTGGTCCTCCCACCACCGAGTGCAAAACCCTGAGACGGATGTTCTCTGCTTAGTTTTTGTTAAGTTTTGTCTGCAGGCCCGGCACGGGTCTAAGCACGATTACAAACCAGGAGACCGGGGCCCAGAGTGGGTCAGTAACGTTCCCAGGTCACACAGCTAGCTCCTTGCACACACCGCCCCCCAACCATAGCTGTCTGTCCGTGTCAGTCTGTCCCATGTCTCTCTTGTCTCTGCCTGATTTCTGTGTGTGCCTCTCTCTCCATGTGTCTCCTCTCTGCCTCTATCTCTTTCTCTCTCTCTTTTCCTCTCTCTCTCTCTCTCTCTCTCTGTGGAGTCTCCCTGTCTATCTTCTCTCTATGTCACCCTGTCCCTCCTTCTCTCCCACCCTCCCCTCTGAGAGGCTCAGCAATCCTCACCTGCCGACATCACTCACCTGTGTGCCCAGCTGTCCGAGCTGGCCCTCCCCACCTGCTGCTCTCCGGGCAGATGGCACTAACTGCCCCTGGTAGTGGCCCTGGGCCCCAGGCACCTCATCAGCCACCCCCGTCAGAGCCCACAGACGCCTCCTCCGCTGGCCCTGGGGCGTGGGAACCTTCGGGGAATCCCGGAGGCCCTTCCCCAGGGTGTGGCCTGGCTCCAGTTCCCTTTTACCCGCACCCCTGCCCACCCTGACAGCACGGAGGCCCCGCCTCTGTGTGTCTCAGCCTCCGAAGGGCTTTGAGGGGCTGCGAGGCCCCTCGGAGGGCACCCCATTTTGGAGCTGGGGACACTGAGGTCAGGAGGGAGCGCATGGACCTCCCTGAGCCACCCGGAGGGGGACCCTGGGCTGTGGCGGGCGCATCCCCAGAGCCTGGGACACCCCGCCTGGCGCCCCCCACCCCGGAGGCCTCTGCATGGCGCCTCCTCGGCACACAGGTGGAGGGGGACCTCGCTCAGCGGGTGGGTGGCCGGCCAGGCTCCCACAGCCTCCAGGCATCCGCTCAGGATGTGAACCAGACTCCCTGACCCCTTTGCTGTTCCTACTGGTCCAAGGG